AGGGGAGAACCAGAAAATAGAGGGTACACCCTAGAAATTTGGGGTAACCACCCTAGTTTATGGCAATACAGAATAATAGGGTGGTACCCTGTTCTTTTTAAGGGTGCAACCCTCTTCTGAATTTGAAATTAGTAGTAGTATATAAGGAGGCTGCCCCTCTTGTCCAACTGTATGAACCTGACCCCCCACTGAATCACAGAGCTCTCAGCAGTCACAAAGCGGTGTGATTATTGAGAACTAAGCGTGTATATCTGACTGAAGTACCTAAGAGTGAGGCTGCAATAGTTGAGGATTGGAACCTCATTATTCTCACCTACTCTGACTGTATCAAGCCGGACCTACACTACCCCAAAAACAACTCCAGTAACAACTCATTTGATCTGAATCTATAGCCCCCTTCAAACTTGCACTGCGGACAGTGTTGACACTGTCTTTACCCTGATAGCGTCACTCTTTCTGCTCTGACAGCGTGCAAGTTCGACCAGTTCCTTCTGGTTGAGGTGGTAGTGGGGCCTCTCAAAGACCTCCTTGTTGGGGACCCAGGGGGGCATTTTTGTAAAGCAAGTGTGGATTACCAGTGGTATGTACGAGGATGCAGATATGTCTACCGCTCTTGCAGTGAGGCTCCGGAAGGAAAGGCATGAGAAAATGTACATAGGCACAGCACTATGATATGTGCTCCCTCTCTTCAAGATGGTACACTGAGCGAAGCTTGGTGCTCGCTTGAAAGCAGATGCTTGTAGAGAGAGCGCAAAGGCAAGGAATAAGACAATACTTCACCAGCATGCCACATTTGTCATCTAATATCTCATCAGTCAATGAAGATTTCAGATTTAAGGTGATTCATACCCTGAGGATTCATGATACAAGCAGTTACAGCATTAATGACCGTATTGTTGGTGTGGTAGATTTCACTGTGCATCTCGGCATGTGCAAACATGATGAGAATGTTCAGGCCGCCTAAGGCAAATATTATTAAAGTATGGGTTGATCACTGTGCATACTCACAAGCTTTCATGAACTCCGCCAAAACACTACCCTCTTGTATTGCTTTTTTGAACGACACTTGATATCCCCTATGGAAGAGATGATCCCAGAGCTGTTTATAGCTAAGGGAGTCTCTATTTTGCAGACTACATCACAAAGCAACCAGAATGATATATTTGGACATGCAGCTTCAATTTACCTATGTGTATGTAGAAAGAGCTGTATATTAGATATCGTACTAAAGATTCTGACAAGTTGAAGT